CACAGCTACTAAGGTCGTTGACATTGTTGACACCTTCAGACTACAGGTTGGTTTTTGTCTCATGCTGTATATCTCAAATTGTTGTGTCGATTAATTTGGTCCTTATTAAGAGACGTATACCAATGTTTTAGCTTATAAGCCATCTTTGTTATGATTGGTTGCATCCGGATGAGTTAGTATTGATCCAAAGTGCGCTTTATTTTTTGTTACGTAGGAGCAACCACCTTTTGACAAGAAGACATTCATCGCTGCCATTAAGAAGTTCATCAAGAACTTGACACCTAAGCTCAGCGAAGAAGAACTAGCAGCTTTCAAGAAGGGTGTTGAGGGAGCTACCAAGTTCTTGCTCTCCAAGCTCAGTGACCTCCAATTGTAAGTTTCTCCCTAATCTATCATCACTTAGTATGTATATATTTTTCATATGAAATCACCCATTAATGATTGTTTTGTTTGACGAAAAATTATAGCTTTGTCGGAGAAGGGATGCACGATGACAGCACTTTGGTCTTTGCTTACTACAAGGAGGGTGCAACTAACCCAACGTTTTTGTACTTCGCTCATGGTTTGAAGGAGGTCAAGTGCTGAGAGAAGAGAAGCTCTCGGTTTTTCACTGTGGTCGGTCGCAGCGACTTTCTACTAAGTTTATGTTTCTCCATATTGTCTTGTGTTTCGTCGTCCCCTATTAAAATTATCTCCTACCATCATCTTTGCTGTTTTCTTCTTCTCGTCTGTGTTGGAAGATTCTTTTAAGTTATTTGATCCGAATACAACGGTTTATCAATTGCTATTAGTTGAATTTTGATCCTTAATTCTTGTGTTGTTTTGATGTTTTCTACTTTACTCACTAGTTTGCTTATCTGAACTAACCCCGAATTTCGAGGCAAGTTGAAAAATTCAGATCTCTAATGAAAGCAAGTAACTTTAATCATTCGGTTGTTTGTGGAAATTCTTTTTCCTGATGGAATATGCTTTTATAAAGTTCCATTGTACTTTTATTTTTATAATAATGATGTTTTATGCTTTTATGAGAAAAAAGTTGGTAGAGACATCATCCATCATAGTCTTCTTGTCCTCTCCGTATGTCTGATCCTTTTGAAAGACATTCACATCCCACGTGTGGAATCTCCTATTCGAGAGTAAACGAGAGTTATGCCCTTTTTTTTTT